CATTAAATTCCAGTGAAATATATTTATGTTTGTGGTTGTAATGTGACAAAATATGGAAAAGTTCAAGGGGTATGAATACTTTTGCAAACCACTGTATATCCTGTGTTCAGAATTATTTCAAATCATCATTCAAACTAACTTCTTCATTTTATCTGGGTAACCTGATTCCCCCTTTTCCACAATGTTGAGTGACATCATATCTTTAGTAACACAATATGCCCTGGATTCACATGCATGCTTGATAATGAGAGTGCTTCACATAAAAATATGTCTTCACATTGCAGTATTTAATTACATTGCAGTATTTAAATGCAAAGTGGCAAATATAAATTTCAGACAAATAATTTCATAGGATAAAATTTTGCCCAACCTAAGTTCAAACTGTTTTTATAATTGTTGAAGCTATACTGATTTTTTAAAAACTTTTCTTGATCTGTAGAACTTACTTAACAAAATCATCAGAGCATACACACCTGATATACTTTCTAAATTGAGCTGTAATCCATATTGAAGATACAGTGTAGTAAGATTTTAAATATAATCAGTGTTTACTCCTTCAAACATTAACGTTGTCTTCCTATTTCTTTGGTCTCTTCAGCCTCACCCCTGCTCCTTTTTGCCAACCGACGTGACGTGCGATTGGTAGATGCAGACTTTGTACGGGGTGAGTCGGCCGTTGTGGTCAGTGATCTGGAGGATGCAGCAGCAGTGGACTTCCTGTATGCCGAGGGTCTGATATTCTGGACTGATGTCAGTGAGGAGGCCATCAAACAAACACACTGGAATCAGTCGTCCAACTGTAAGACTTCTCTCTCCCCAAGAATAAAATCATTTCAGTCAAACCTGTATGTTTAAAAAACACACCCACCACCTCTTTTATCATATTTTAATGTAAGTATTTTGTGCTCACAGCTCTTAAAGAGGTTCTGGGAACGGGCCAAACTGTTGTGGTGTCAGGACTGAATAGTCCCGATGGACTAGCGTGTGACTGGTTGGGTAAAAAGCTCTACTGGACGGATTCAGACACCAATCGAATTGAAGTGGCCAACTTAGATGGCACCTCCAGAAAAGTCCTGTTCTGGATGGACTTGGACCAACCCAGGGCTATTGCCCTTAATCCAGGACAACGGTAAGAAAATACACCAAAGGTATGCATACACATAAACCAGTTGTTCCAGAATGTTTTTATTTTTCTGAGCACATTTATTCATACAACTCTTTCATTTGTTGTTGCCCAATGGCAAAAGGACAAATATGTTATGTGGCACCAAGAATGTTTAAAACAAAGTTATTATGTTAATGTGTGTTAATAAAGTGTGTGATTTAAAAAAAATTGAAAAACAAAAGAACCCAACTTTTATGTTTTGTTGGAACAAATTCAGTGAACCCACATTTAGAAACGAGTGACAACTCCAACAGTCAGATTCAAACACGAAGAAGAGAGCTGTGGAATCAGAGATTCTGCTGTGAAAATAATACAACCACAGACATTTATGGGACAATTTTATGATGGATTTTTAAAATAATGGTGGACTGAAGAACCTAAACAAGACTCATCCTGTGTGGAGATTTTGTACATGCAGGTTACAGGTTTACAGAAAACTCTGGAGAAGTTGTGAAGTGAAATGAAAAACAGAGTATGTAGATGGGGGCTTGTGATTCGTGCATATTCTGACCCATGAGCCAATCTGCTTCCAGGAAGTTCCATTAGCCATGCTGTTTTTTTTAACATCACCTCACAGCTGCGTGAGTTGTGGTAAATGTGACGTGTATTAACCCTAAATATTTAGTTTGAGAGGCCTGAAAGCTGGAACTAATCATTCCATATGTGGCAGGAGTTTCAGAGAAACTGAGACGTTTATTCTCTAAACATGACGTCCCAGTGGCTTTCAAACCCCAAAACACATTACGACAAAGATTAGTTCACCCCAAAGATCCAGTTCCCCGGCAAAAACAGAGTAATATAGTGTATGCTTTTAAGTGCCAGGAGGACTGCGACCAGTTATACATCGGGGAAACAAAGCAACCACTGTTCAAAAGAATGAGCCAGCACAGACGAGCTACATCATCAGGCCAGGACTCTGCAGTTTACACACATCTACGTACAGGCCAGTGGTCACTCTTTTAG